CTGACATGTGGTGCTGGGGGATTGAACCGCGGTCCCTGTGCTTTGCTAAGCTTGTTCTAAGTAGGTGCTTTAGACCACTGAGCCATCTCACCAGCCCCGGCTAGTCACACTCTTAAGTGTGTTAAAAAGTGTCTGGGATCTTTGGAGAGAAACAAGAAAGAAACCAGTGCTGGAAGGGCTTGGACTTCAGCTGCCAACCCTTAGCACCTTGAGGGAGTTGTAACCCCAGCTGAGGTCTGTGTTAAGTAGTCCTGAGGACTCTGGGAAGCGCCACTCACCGCTCTGCTGTTTAAGGCAGCAGACTGGAGCAGACAGTTTGGCAGACAGAGGAGCTAGGGGACCCGGTCCTAAGCGCTCGGGCTGCCAGTATAAAGCAGTCCTGCCAAGGGCATCTCACCAGAGGACTGTGCCCCTGGATTTACAGTTGCTGTTTCCACGTGCTATTTTATAGTAGCAGGATGTGTGTTGGTGTTGGTACTGAGGATCATTTTCTTTATATGTATAAGAAGAAAACAACTTTCTGAATGAAGAGAAGGATGCAGTGTCACTCATGGGTGCTTAGGGCCGAGGGAGACAGATAGGGAGGCGGATGGGCCTGCTGCTACGGAGGGAGGCTCCAGCACAGGAGGAGTGCGCCATGGGGTGGTGGATTGCTGGCAAAGGTTGGGTCCCAGAGTCTGCCTTCCTCGACTTGAGCCCTGTTTGCTGTTTGTTATCTGTGTGACCGTGGGCGCTGCTCCACACTGCAAGCCTCAGCTTTCATCAGATGCTGCGCCTTTCGCCCTTGCTGCATCAGGTTCCTGCAAGGCCTGCGGGAGAAGGGCGGAGTGCAGTGTTGGCGCTGCCTATTTATTTTCTGTTATGAATGGAGTTACTGTGATTATTTATTTATTTATTTATTTATTTCTAGGGATTGAACTCAGGACCTTGTACTTGCCAGGCAGGCACTTAATCTGCTGAGCTGTCTTATCTCCCCAGCCCTTGTTGTTTTTGTTTTTGTTTTGAAATGGAATTTCACATTGTCAGGCCTGACCTGAGACCTTAATAAATGTACCACCCTCTATGAACAACAACAAACCACCTAAAGGACCATGCTGCCCTCAGCAGACTACACATGACTGCAAGGAAACCTGGGGTTGGACATATGGTCACCTGGTGCCAGAGCGTCCAGTGTTGCTTGCACACCATACCTGTGCTGACATTCTGGGAATTTGATCTCATACATTCTATCCAGATTCCAGGGTAGTATAATTCCATCCCCAAAACCTTTATAAATTTAACCTCTCCTGGACCACCTGCAGATATAATTTTGAAGGACCAGCTAAATAGCTCAGTGAGAAGATAAGATAGCTTAGTAGAATAAGCACTTGCCTGGCAAGCACAAGGTCGTGAGTTCAGTTCCCAGTACCACACCAAAAAAAAAAACCGAATTAAATTAAAGCACCTGCAAGCAGGCACAGAGGCCCAGGGCACACTGAGATGGCAATTGAGACTGGCTGTGGTGGCACATGCCTGTAATCCCAGCTCTTGGGAGGCTGTAAACAGGCAGATCGCTACGTCCAATCTAGTAGTGAGACCCTGAACACCCTCTAGACCATTCCCTCCCCAATATAATTTTGATCTCAGCCTACCTGCAGCTAGGTGAAATTAAATTAGCCTTTCCTCATATAAATCTGTGTAGTTCAGGTTGGTCTTGAACTCACTGCATAGACACCTGGCCTTGAAATGAGGTGATCCTCCTGCCCCAGCCTCCCAAGGGATTACATGTGTTTGCTATCATGTCTAGCATAGCCACAGATTTTAAGGGTAGGAATAGAAAAAGGAGGAGCCCCCATGGGAGGTGTTTGGCTAGGTGATTTCTGCCTGCATGGGCTCTTAGTAGAGGGCCATGTCCTCAGCAGAGCTGGTCTCCCCAGTCTGCCAGGTCACTGAGCAATGCAGGAAGGCAAGCTGAGAGCCCTGGGAGCTTGACATCCGCTGCAGAGCCTGGTTCCTGTGTGCTCTCGAATGCCTGAGGTTTGGGCCTGCTGGAGTCCTCCCAGGGGCACTTGCATTGCCCTCCAGCTGCAGGCCAACACAAGCTCACTTGTGCCTGCCTCCAGCTCAGCCCTGTGCTGGGTCCTGGGCACCTTTCTGCCTTGCTCAGCCAGGGCCCCCAGTGGTGGTGGTGGGCTGGGCTTCTGTGAGTCGGGGCTCCTCATGTGTTTGCTCTGCTCTCCCACAGCTTATCAACGCCGTGGTCCTACTGATTTTGCTGAGCGCCCTGGCCGATCCCAATGAGTCCCGCTTCTCCAGCTCCGAACTAGGAGGGAACTTGGCGCTACTAGACGATGCCAGTAAGTACAGATGGCACCTGAGGATGTTCTGGGATGCCTAAGGACAGCTACTGCTGCCCTTCCTATTGGAGCACAAATGCTGATTCGTGCACACCTTTTCTTTCCATCCTTGCAAATGGAATCAAATATTTCATGCTGCTCATGTTCTTCCTCTGTTCTGTGAGTCTAAGTGGGGTCTCCTCTTCCCAGGTAATGCCAGCTTACCACGTTTTTTGAGACAGGGTCTCACTATGCAGTTCAGGCTGGCCTTGAGGTCACTTTGTTGCCCAGGCTGGTCTCAAACTCAGAACAATCCTCCTGCCTCAGCCTCCTGAGTGCTGGGATTATGGGTGTGCTCCATCACACCGAGTTTACAGATTTCCTGTACTTAGGCTTTCTGGGTTCAGTCTCAGCCTTTTAAAATTTGTTTTTTGAGATAGAACCTTATTATGTCCTTAGGTTGCCTGGGCTACTGTAGTCCCAGCACTTGGGAGGCTGTAAACAGGAGAATCACTACAAGTCCAGTCTACAGAGAGACCCTGTACACCCTGTCCTAAATTTAAAAAAATGCCCGGGCTAGGCTCAAACTTGAAATCCTTCTGCCCCAGCCTCCCAGAGTGCTAGGATGACAACTCGCTACGTACGGCCTTTGTTGGACAAGTAGGCTCAAACCAGCTTGGATCCTGACCCATCCAGGTCTAAATGTGCCAATGTTGAGCTAGTTACTTGTCTGTGCCTTAGATTTTTCCTCTGAAAGAGAAAAGTGTAGTATCCACTTAGCTCAGAGGGTTGGGAGTGAGGACCAAATGGGTGCTTGGTGCAGGGCCCAGCGGTGGCAGGTGCTCAATGCTATGCGCTGTCCTGCTGTCCTTTCCCAGAGCTGTTACTGTGGAAAAGCGGGAGTGCCCTTCAGCAGAGAGATGGGACTTCTGAGTCAGGAGTCAGGTCTAGACTACAAGGTACAATTGAGGCTATCACCTAAAAAGTGGCATTTGTGTTAGGGAGAGAGGGGAGGGGCAGAGGAGTCTCAGGATGGAGCCAGGAGGGCCCAGTACTTACTCGGGCGGGGACATCAGCGCTGAATCCTAGTGAACTCTGGGCAGCTTTATGTCCTCATTCTCACTGCTGTCCACACAAGGAGAAAGCTGGGCCACCTTGGCCGGGTTTTGGAATCGCACCAGAGATATGGCTTCACTGTACATTGCCCATTCTCTTTATTGCAGATAACCCAATTACCCGTAGGGATTCTTCCAGAAAGGACAGTTTCATTCATGTTACAGTATCTCTGCCTTTATTCCCCTTAGCTTAAAAGCTACATAAGGTACACATAAAATATGTGATTGACATTTGAAAATAAAAGTACTCTTTCACAGTTTCCAGGATGAAGATTGCTTTCCTGAGGTGGCTGATGTTAGAAAAGTAGTTGTAAATGTCCCTGCTGTGGTTCTGCCCCTGTTGCATGGTAGTGCTGGAGGGTCCAGCTGGGGTGACTTGTGGCCTGGGAGTAATGTAGCTTCCTCCACGGCTGCTTGCTGTGCCTTAGGACTGGAAAGTAGCAATTCGTAACGTCCTTTGTAATAATTTGAGTGCATTTCAGGTTTCTCTCACATTTCATGTATTTGAAAGGATAGAATGAATAATTTTTTAAAAAATTTTATTTATTTATTTGTGTGTGTGTGTGTGTGTATATGTGGCCAGCTCAGCCCACCAGGGGGCGGGGCTGGCTGGCATGTGGTGCTGGGGGATTGAACCGAGGTCCCTCAGCTTTGCTAAGCTTGTTTTTTTTTTAAATTATTTATTTTTATTTATTACATTTATTTATTGTATGTGTGTGTGGTCAGCTCAGACCACCAGGGGGCGGGGCTGGCTGGCATGTGGTGCTGGGGATCGAAGTGCGGTCCCTGTGCTTTGCCAAGCTTGTTTCAAGTAGGTGCTTTAGACCACTGAGCCATCTCTCCAGCCCCATAAGCTTGTTCTAAGTAGGTGCTTTAGACCACTGAGTCATCTCACCAGCCCCTGAATAATTTTTTTGAACAACTTTTTTTTTTTAATGGTTCTAGGAAGTGAACGTATGGCCTTGTTACTGAGCTGTCTCTCCAGCATGCCCTCCCTTATTTTGAAATGGGGTCTCCCTGGGTTGCCAGGATGGGTTTGAACTTGTGACCCTCCTGTGTCAGCCTCCCAGAGTGCTGGAGTTATCAGCACACATTACCTTGCCTAGCCACATTTGCGATTTTGCAACCAGAATATGGTTTGTATTAAATCAGCATTAGATACTGTGAGGATCAGTTTTCTCTCCTCCAGTGTTGTGTGGATTGGGGTGGGGGAGGGTACTTAGGACTGGACCCAGGGCCTTTGGACTGAGCTATTCCACCAACCGATTTAACTAAATTTAATTTTTTAATACATTTAGTACATAAACTATTATGTTTTGTATATGTGTGTATTATTTTGAGGTAGAGTCTTGCCAAGTTGCACTGGCTGGGCTGGTGCTTTGTGATCCTCCTGCCTCACCCTCCCAGGGTTCTGGGATTATAGACAAGTGCCACCTTGCCTGGCTTCTCCAGATCGATTGATCGATGGATTGATTGGTTGATCCATCTATCCATCCACTCATCCTTCTTGCTTTCCTTCCTTCCTTTCTTTTTTTTGCCGTACCAGGGATTGAACTCAAGACCCTGTGCTTGCCAGTTACTCTACTAGATCTTTATTTTTGAAACCTTTCAGAAGAGTTACATGTACATTGAAGCCAATCTTACTTTTTTTTTTTTTTTGGCGGAACCAGGGATTGAACTCAGGCCTTTGGCGCTTGCCAGGCAAGCACTTACTCTACTGAGCTATATCTCCTCAGCCCTCCAGTCTTACTTTTTCATGAACCATAGTTTGTAGTTCCTCTATTTTGGGGGGACGTACTGGGGATCAAACTCAGGACCTTGTGCTTGCCAGGCAGAAAGCATTACTTCACCAAATTTTTTTATTTTTATTTTTGGTAGTATCAGGGATTGAACTCAGGACACTGTGCTTGCGAGTGCCAGGCAGGTACTTATTCTACTGAGCTATCTCCCCAGCCCACCTTACTAAATATTGAGTAGGTACAGAACAATATCTTGTTGCTGGCTGCCTGTTGGTTTAAGAAACTGAATTTTACCTTTATGTCAAAGAACCCTGTTTGGGGGCTGGGGAGATGGCTGAGTAGAATAAGAGCTTGCCTGGCAAGTGTAAGGGTCTTGAGTTCAAGCCCCGGTTCTGCAAAAAAAAGAACCCTGTTTACATTTTTCTGATTGCTTCCTCTGCTCAGCTACTTTCTGAATTGTCCTGCCTTTTCTTTATAAACTTGCCATATACAAACTTGCCTTTTCTTTATAAATTTGCTTTCTTTGTATACATTTGCATATCTAATTGATCTATTCATAATTTTCCCAAGCTTGTGCTCTGTACAGTGTGCGTGTGAACAGGGTACATTTCCTTTCCTGGAGGCAGGCACAGTGTGTTAGAAAATGAATCACACTTGTTATGTAGCAGCCAGATTATTGTCCACAGAAGACTAGATAATAGGGATAACAATAGCCTTTATTAATTATTTGCTTATCACCACTATGCACGCACACCCTTATAAAATTGGGAGTGCCGCCCACAGCAAATTGCTTTGTTCCCCCTTTGCATAGGTAGCTTCCCCGGTTGCCATGGCAACCACAATGCAATGCTGTGTCCCCTGGCGTGATTCCCCCCCCACCCCCCCCCCCCCCAACCCGGGATTGAACTCAGGCCTTTGCCCTTGCCAGGTAAGCTTTTATTCTACTGAGCTATCTCCCTGGCCCCTGCTTCTGAAAGTTACATGATCTGAGCCTTAAGTCTATAATCATAAGAACAGTGATATTTAACTCAGTTGGAAAGATGAAACAGTTGGCAAAATTGCCTTGAAAACTGGCAGGCACTGTTCAGATACTTCTGCACGGGGCTTGCACTCACGTATGTTGCCCTAGCCACACTGTACTGACGTACTGTCAGCATCTCCTTGCTGGGTGCAATTCATAAAGGAATTATTTAGAAGCCACATTAAAACGCAAAGAGAGGGGCTGGCGAGATGGCTCAGTGGTCTAAAGCGCCTACTTGGAACAAGCTTGGGAAAGCACAGGGACCGCGGTTTGATCCCCCAGCACCACATGCCAGCCAGCCCCGCCCCCTGGTGGGCTGAGCTGGCCACACACACACACACACACACACACACACACACTCTAAATAAATAAATAAATAAATAAAAATAAATAAACGCAAAGAGAAACAAGTGAGATTAATTTTAACTGTATATACAAATATAACTCAAATGCTGTATATCCAGAATACTGCTGTGTGTAGAAAAATACTCAGTATGAAAAGGATGTGTGGTGGTTTACGTTCTTTGTACTAAGTCATTGAGATCAGCATGCACGTTCCTTTTTCTGCTCATCTCCAATTGCCGTGACCTTCTTTCTTTTTTTTTTTTTTAATTTTTTAAAATTAATTATTTATTATTATTTATTTTTGTGTGTGTGTGTGGCCAGCTCGGCCCACCAGGGAGCGGGGCTGGCTGGCATGTGGTGCTGGGGGATTGAACCGCGGTCCCTGTGCTTTGCTTAGCTTAGCTTGTTCTAAGTAGGTGCTTTAGACCACTGAGCCATCTCACCAGCCCCCGTGACCTTCTTTCAAATAAGTGCTTAGTGCCTCCCTGCAGCTCCTGACTATATGGGGCAGTTAGCACCTAGATGGTAGCTGTCCTTGGGAATGAGAGGAGCTCCCTATGGTGCTAACATTGGAGCTGGGACCCAAACAACTGAAGAGAGGGTGCTGATCACATGACACTATGGAGGCGCTGCTTGTGGCCATTGGAACTCTGCGTGTGCAGAGCCCTGTGGCACTGTTGATTTTTTTCTGTTTTTGAGATAGGGGCTTTCTTCAACTTGCTCTGTATGTAGCTCAGGCTGGCCTGGATCTTGCCAAGATCCTGTGACTGTCCCTCAGCCTCCTAAGTGCTGGAATTATAGGCATGTGCTCCACACCCAGCCACGCACTGTGATCTTGCTGCCTGTGACCAACCAGTTGGGACTAGAGAGGCAGGCAAGCTTACACTCAGAACGATCTGGCTGTCTCACCCACGCAGAGAAGGTTTTAGTTAGAACCAGGAGGTACACATGTGTTTATATGGCACCTATAGTGTTGTGGAAAAACTGGTGGCCTAATGGAAAACACTTTGTATTTTAGGGAGGGGTCTACAAGGTGTTGAGGATCTCACTACTAGATGGGACTCATAGTGATCTGCCTGTTTACAGCCTCCCAAGAGCTGGTATTAAAGACCACGCCTGGTCTCAATCACCATCACAGTGCGCCCCAGGGGCACGCCCAATGCCTGCAGCACCCGCATCCTGGGGATTGAATCCCTGACCCCTGACCCCTGCGCCTTCTTGGTGTTTTAATCCACTGAGCTATTTGGCCTGCCCAGTCTGGCAAACACTTTGCACCAGGGTATTTAGAAGGCAGCGTTTAACACCAGTGGGCTGATGAGGGATTACTCCTCAAAGCATCAGCACAGGCTTAAGGTAAAAGAGCAAGTTACATACTTTTTGTGAACAGGAAGTACAGAGTCAGTAGGTCATGGGTTAATAATTGGTCACCTCCATTTTGTCAGACATCAAAAGTGTCAGGGTAAGTTCATGGGGGGGGTGGCAGGAAGAGGGGGGTGGTTAGAGGCTGGGCAAGTGGACAAGATTTGATGTGACCTTGAAAGGCCCATCTGCATTGGGTAGATAGTCCTTGAAACAGTTTAGAAAAAAAAGAGTATGTGTACAGGCACTGTGCAGCTGGCCTGGCAGGCCTGCGTCAGTTCTGAGTTGCAGCTGTGGGGCCAAGGACACTGAGTGATTACTCAGTTATGGAGCTATAGTTTTAAAGAAATTTTTATTGCCATTTAGTCTCCACTACAATAGAACTCTAAAGGAATATTTACTTCTTATTGTACAGAATTTATAGTATAGAGTGAATCAGAAGGCCAAGTTATTTCTTTTTCTTTCTTTTTTTTTTGCAGAACTGGGGATTGAACTCAGACCCTTGCGCTTGCCAGGCAAGTGCTTATTCTACTGAGCCATCTCCCCGGCCCCCCAAGTTATTTCTTCTTTTTTTTTTGGCAGAACTGGGGATTGAACTCAGGCCCTTATGCTTGCCAGGGAAGCGCTTATTTCACTGAGCCATCTTCCCGGTCCCCCAAGTTATTTCGATAGTTGTAAGCAACATGTCTTTTCTGTCTTTCTTTCTTTTTTCCTCCTTTTTTTTCTTCATAATTTTATTGATAAACAGCAATGAGACAGTTTCAAATCAAATCGCTAGGACAGTTTCAATAACTAACACACTGCATGCATTCTTCTTAGTGGTTAATTGCTGTACAAGATGCAGACTTGTGATCCTACTTACAAACACCATTAGAACAAATCATTCTATTCATTAAGAGAATGTAACTATATATCCCATCCACTTTTTTTTTTTTTTTTTAATATTTATTTATTTAGTGTGTGGCCAGCTCAGCCCACCCGGGGGCAGGCAGGCTGGCATGTGGTGCTGGGGGATAGAACCAAGGTCCCTGTGCCCTGCTTGAGCTTAGCTTGTTCTAAGTAGGTGCTTTTGACCACTGAGCCATCTCACCAGCCCCATCCATTAACTATTATCAACTAAAAAAAAAGTGGTTTAAACTTAGCATAATGTTTGCACTTAGAATTGGTGTGTAAAATGGCGTTATGGAGAAACTCAGAATGTTCCAGCAGTGGCTTCGTTGTTGATTATATTTTTCACCCTGTGACAGATATATACATCGCTATTGTGATTTCTCTGCTCATGATCGCGATCTGTGCAATGGCAACCTACGGCGCATACAAGGTGAGGAGCGGCCTGACCCAGCCCAGTGCTCAGAACCAGCAAGGGCGGACTTGCGAGCTTCTGCTGGTTCCGCCCACCCGCCGGGGCACACGCGCTGCAGGGTGGCCATGCTGGCGTAAGCTGTGCTTCTCTGCAGTGAGCATGGAGAAAAAGCTTTGAAAGTTTGAGTCTTACACCCCACTACTAGGAATACCAATGAAGGCAGTCTTTTAGCCCCAGCCTTGTGTGCTGAGTCTTATTTGTGGCCTGCTTCTACCTGGCAAGCCCATTGCTATCTTGCCCTGGTATAATGGCTGTCCTTTCCTCCATATCCCTTTAGTTTAATACTCTGAGTTCAGCTAGAGCCTGTCCTGTAGCATGGAAGGCACTGACTAATCTGTTTTCTTGTATTCAGCAACGTGCGGCCTGGATCATCCCGTTCTTCTGCTACCAGATCTTCGATTTCGCCTTGAACACCTTGGTTGCAATCACTGTGCTGGTGTACCCCAGCTCCATTCAGGAGTACATACGGCAGCTGGTAAGTCGTGGTGGGGTGGGCGGCCTGGTGCCAGCCTTGCCTTGCTCGTCCTGCACACAAGCCCTGGCAGCCTGGCCTGGGCACACAAGGCACCATGGGTTTGCTGCTTTTTTGTCTTTTTGAGACTGCCTCGATGCTGTTTGGGCTGGCGTTTGCTCACTTGTGCTGGGATTACAGGCATGCAGCTCCGCAGGTAGTTAGTTTGCTGCTTAAAATAATTACACTGGCGGGGGCCTGGCTCAGTGATGGCGGACCCGCACAGCACGTCAGCTTCCCCTCTTCAGACACTACTGTCCTGGCAGGCCATCGGGGTGCATGCTATAATCCCAGTGTTCCAGAATCTCTTGGCAGGAGGGTTTCTGTGGGTTGGAGGCCAGTCTGGGCTGCATAGTGAGTTCAAGGCTGGGCTGAGCTACATAGTGAGACCCTGGCTCAAAAAAACAAAGCAAACCACTACAGTCCTTGGGAAGAGCACATTGATCCCCCAGAAGTTTAAGGACTTGTCACTCCCATCTGTAGTGTCCTTCTCATTTTTGTCAGTCTGATTATAGGAAGGTCATGTAAGCTGGCCATGAAGGTGCATGCCTGTGATCACAGTTCTTACCAAACAGGTCCGTGCTTGGGTGATGCCTCACCTCAGGAAACCAACCGCTCTGTGCCTTCCGATGTATCCGCTGCTGCTCCTCTGGTGCACTCCCCATCCTGCAGCGTGGAAGGCCGGGCACGGAGCCATCTCTGTGCTCTCAGCATCTTGGTGCTGTGATCTGGGGCTGGGCTCAGGAGCGAAAGGCAGTGTCTGCATTGCTTGCCACGGAGTGGTGGGGGTCCCGGGGTAGTTGAGCTGCATCAGCCAGCACAGTTCAAATGGTGGTCTGCTGAGGTCTCACCGCAGCTGGGAAGGTGGCCACACAGTGGTACCTGACTTCCTCCCACCTTACAGCTCCTCTGGAGCAGGGAAAGGAATGGGATTCCCCCCTCCCCCCCATGGAGTTAGGGACAAAGACGTATTTATTGCCAGTAGTTCCACAGGGGACTCAAGTCTCCCTGAGAACCCTGAGCAAAGCTTTGTGTCCACTTTCTTTTCTTCTTCTTCTTCTTCTTCTTCTTCTTCTTCTTCTTCTTCTTCTTCTTCTTCTTCTTCTTCTTCTTTTTTTTTTTGTGTGTGTGTGTGTGTGTGTGTGTGTGTGTGGCCAGCTCAGCCCACCAGAGGGTGGGGCTGGCTGGCAAGTGGTGCTGGGGGATTGAACCGCGCACGGTCCCTGTGTTTTGCCAAGCTTGTTCTAAGTAGGTGCTTTAGACCACAGAGCCATCTCACCAGCCCCTCCACTTTCATTTATTTATTTATTTATTTATTTATGTGGCCAGCTCAGCCCACCAGGAGGCAGGGCTGGCTGGCATGTGGTGCTGGTGCTGGGGGATTGAATCGCGGTCCCTCTGCTTTGTTAAGCTTGTTTTAAGTAGGTGCTTTAGACCACTGAGCCATCTCACCAGCCCCTCCACTTTCTTTTCTATGAGGAGATTTTTCATTGGAAATCAGTGTGAAGTGAAGTTACAGAAGCCGAGCAGCACTTACGGAGTAAGAGCGATCAGGGGAGAGCGGGCAGTTGAGGCTCCACTGACCCTACAGCTGTAGCTGTACATGGATGTAGCTGAGGTCCTAGCCACCAGTCTCCTCAGTGAGCTCCGCTGCACAGGTAACCCCTAGGTGCCCAGTGTGACCCTAGGAGGTGTCTCCTCAGCTCATCTCTGTCTTTTGTGGAGCCAGGGCTGACACAGTGATGACATTGGTCAGTAACTATATGATCAATTTAAAAAAAAAATATTTATTTACTTGGGTACAGGGTCTCCCTGTGCAACTCAGACACATAGTGATCCTCCTGTCTCAGGCTCCCCAGCACTGGGATTATAGGCATGTGCCACCATAAAGCACCCGGGTTCCAGAGCCAGCACAGCATGTGGTATCAGGAATGGGTCTTTGCGCTTTTCAGGCAGGTGCTTAAACTGCCAAGCTATCTCCCGAGCCCTATAATAATAATTAGTGTTTTTTTTTTTTTTAAATTTTGTGTGTGTGTGTGTGGCCAGTTCAGCCCACCAGAGGGCGGCTCTGGCTGGCATGTGGTGCTGGGGGATTGAACCGCGGTCCCTGTGCTTTGCTAAGCTTGTTCCAAGTAGGTGCTTTAGACCACTGAGCCATCTCACCAGCCCAATAATCAGTTTCAAAAAACACTATGTGCTTTTACTTGTAATTGCAAGCCACTGACAGAAGGGAATATCTCCTGTGTGTTGTATTAAAGACAAGTGAGAGCTGCACACCGGGTTGAATGGCGGCAGCAGCAGCGGCCCTACTAGTCAGCACAGCTTTGTACAGATTTTGTTTTGTTTTGAAAAGTAAATCTCAACTTGCATTAAAAACCATGTCTATAGCCAGGTATGGTGGCACACACCTGCAATCCCAGCTCTCGAGAGGCTGAGGCAGGAGGATTGTTGCATGTTTGAGGTCAACTTAGGCTACATAGTGAGTTCAAGACCAGCATAAGCTGCATAGGGAGACCTGGTTTCAGGAAGAAAAAAAAAAAAAAAGGAGCAAAACATGTCCACTTTTCTGGGGAAAGTGAATGTCAGGGTCTATGTGGAGAGCATTATGTGCTTCCTTCCGCTCAGATCTCTTTAATTAGACCACATGAGCAGTATGGTTCCTTCTTAATTTTATAAGCAGTGCCAAGCTATTCTTACCCTTTAGGGTCTCTGCTACAAAAACCTTTTGATTCTGCCCAAGGTGGAAGATCTCAGTCCCTGCCTGTGGCATGGGGAGTAGTAGGGAAGAAGGGGATGAGTCACAGAGGGGCCCCTGCTCTGCTCAGCTCTGCCCTGGCTCAGTTCTGCTCCCGAGGGGCACAGACACAGTAGGGGGTAGTGAGGACATGGGTGTGTGGCACCTGCTTAGGCACCCAGCCATCCTGGAGGCACAGGACAAGGCCATGCAGCCGTCGGGAGCTCTAGCTATGCAGGCTTGGTCTTCTGGGGGTTTGCTATGACTTGTATGGTTAGATGGTAGGACTCTTTCTTTCCTTCCTGGGATTGAACTCAGGACTTCGTGCTTGCCAGACAAGTGCTTATTCTACTGAGCTATCTCCCCGGCTTGTTTGTTTGTCTTTGTGAGACAGTCTCACTGTGTAGTTCTGGCTTCCTGTGTAGCCCAGGCTGACCTACTCAGTGTTTCTTCTGCCTCAGCCTCCCAGGTGCTGGGATTACAGGGATACGCCCCCACACCCAGCTAAGGACTTGATTTCTAGTGTTATGTTCAGTGCTGGGGCCAAACCCGAAGGCACATGTGCTGTGCCACTGCTCCACACCCTGGGCCCTGTTGTTTTTAAATGGTGCAGATTCTTGTTATAAGAGAGGCAGCTCTTTGGGGAGCGGTAACATTGGCAAAGGTCGTCTGTATCTCCAGCAAGACATCAGGCTAGTCGGTTTCTTCCCCTTCCTGGTGCGTGTCCCTTAGGAGGTCTAGAGCTTGCAGTAAATGCAGATACCAGAGGTTAGGAAACGTCCCTGCTAGAGACCATGGCTTTTCACCTTGTGTGGGCTGAGGTAAAAACTGTGCCCAAGTCTCCCTTTGCTTTTACTGGGATTAACTCCTGGCTAAGAACAAAGCTGCCCTCTCTCTGTTAGAGCTTTGCTAGTTTTTTCAGTAGTACCAGCTGAGAAATGTTACGCTGGTCCTGGATAATAATTGTCAGCGCGACCTGCGGCTTTCTGATGAGCACATCTGAGCTGAGTGTAGTCTCCAGGGACTGAGTTGCTAATGAGGTCCTTTTCTTTTGCAGCCTCCTGAAATGCCCTATAAAGATGACATCGTGTCGGTGAACCCCACCTGTTTGATTCTTATTATTCTTCTGTTTTTCAGCATTATCTTGGCATTAAAGGTAAGCACTGATGTCTTAGTTATTTTTTTGTTGCCAGCATACAATAGCCAGTGCCCACAATACTATGGAAGAAAGGTTTATTTTGGTTCATACTGTTTAGAGGGTTCTGTGCATAGTCACCCGGCTCCAAGGCAGGGAGAGAGAAGCAGAGGGATCAAGAGAGGAGGGAGAGAGACAGACGCACCTTCCAGGGCCTGCCCTTATGGGCCTCACTGCCTGACATGGCATTTAGCTGTAACTCCCCAGGAAACTCATCTACAGATGAGTGTTATGCTCCCAGGTCACAGTCACCTCCCAAAAGCTGTACATAAGAGGCTTTGGGAGGGACATCTAGCTAGAAAGAAACCATGACACACTTGAATTTTTTAATTTTTTTTTTTTTTTTTTTTTAATGCGGAACCAGGAATTGAACACAGGCCCTTGCGCTTGCAAGGGAAGCACTTATTCCACTGAGCCATCTCCCGGGCCCTTTTTCTTTTTTTTTTTTT